TGGGTTGATCCGTTGGGTTTTGTTTGGCTATTGAACACTTAATGGGAGACAGGCCTTGTACTTTGGATGCAGCAACAGCCGAGATGCGCACCACCTCCAGTGCCTGGGCAGGGACCCCGGGAGGAGTGGGAGTTGTAGCCTCAACACACTTCCGCTTTACCCGGCACCCACTGCCTGGCAGGAACTGTCCCTATAGCTGAGACACAGCAGTGAGCAAAACAGCGAACGCCTTCGCATGGGAGATGAATGATAGGCACATTACGTCCTAGAGGAGAGGACCTTACGGAAAGCAGGAAAAGGTGTTGGGTGGGCGGGGCTGGGCGCGGTCAGCCTGGATGTGCGGGGCAGGGGCAAATGACAAGGACTTGCGAGTGCAGGGTAGAGGGGCTTTGACTGTGGACGATGCCAGAATCTACCACACAGCTCTGAGCGCTGGTTGGTTGTGCTGGAAGAGCAGCATCAGGCAGTGGTCCAGGCTGTAGTGATCTAGGCCAAGCCGCTGGGGCGGTAGCAGCAAAGTGGGGAAGTCTGGAGTCTGGGTATGTGTTGGACAGTGCCAGTTCGATTTCTTTATGGATTGGGCATGTGGCAAGAGGGCAGCCAAGGATGACGCCAAGCGTTTCAGCCTGAGTTAGCAGCTGTAGTTGGGCACGTGGAACAGGCATCAGTGCAGCTGAGTTGGGCTTAGCTATGTCCCAAGACAGAAGTCATCACGTGGACAGCCCAGGTGAGGTCTGGGCTGGAGGCTGAAATCGGGGGGTTGCTGCTGTCTAGTCTGGCTTTCGGAGCCATGAGGCTGGTTGAGCAGAGGACAGGGCAGAGCCAGGGCACAAGCAGATGAGGCGAAGCAGTAGGCCCAGGGGTGGAGGGTACCCTCGAAGGTGAAGTCCTGAAGCCAAGGGCTGCTGACAGAAGTTAGGAAAGATGGAGACCAAGTTCTGGTGGCTCTCAGTGACCTCTGCCAGGGTGCTATAGTGGGACCATGAGCACGTGCCTACTTCAGCAGGCTGAAGAGGGGCTGAGGGTGTGGGAGACAGCCGGTCTGGAGCGGTCTCTGCAGAGGGGACC